GCAGAGGGAGATTCTACAAACACCATGAACCAGTAAAGCATTCTAACAGTGGTTTAGACCATCAGAATGAGACACCTAACTCTAAAAAAATCAAACTTGATATTCCACGAGCTACGCTTACTGAATCACGATGTTTCGTTTGTGGAAAGTCCAGAGATGAAAAAATGTAAAATGGTGAAACCATGCACGGAAATAAGAGTTAAGATTTTTATTAAGACAGATGTCTTGATTCCAAACACATTTCATGAGGTGCTGTGCTTCTCATATAGTGGATGGTGATATTCATTTCAATGTTCTTCAGTCACTCACTCCTACCAGTGAAGACTCAAAACTGGATTCATCTGAAATATCAGAAATCCTGCTTTCACTGAGATCACTGGCATCTAGAAAAAGTTGTTTAGACTTTGATTCACCTGATGGATTAACTGATCAAGATTATTATCAACTCACAGGACTTTATAAATGTTGCTTCGAAGGCGTACAATCTTTGGATTGAATATTCTAATGGACTGACCCCAATATCAGGCTGGTATTGTCAATGTAAGGTTGGTGCCAGAGTAGTCGGCTGCTGTGCTCACATTGCATCTGTCCTATGGTATCTTTCTTATGACCGACACCAGTCTGATACTACACAAACAACTGCCTCCTCAAGTTTCCTTAGTTGTGTTGACGACGTAATGACGGTGGAGTACTGGTCAGATTGTGACAGCGACAGTGACTCCTAAATGAATATCCCAACACCATCATTCCCCTCACTAAAGCAGTAAACAAAAATACAATCCTGTAAGTAATAGACAAAGGTCATTTATGATCCTGTGAAACCCGGTGCTAAATTGATTTTTTCCATTTTGATATCATCCATATTTGTAAAAATATTTCAAATAAATACACTGCACGTGATAAACGTATTGTTTATAGATGCATTAAGACAAAAAACGGTGCTCAAGTGTGACTTAATTAGTAATTATGGCACTTAATTACCATAACCTACTTTTCAACATTGGCATATTTTTGGTCATTTTTTCTAATGAAGGTTTTAAAAATATATCATCAAATGACATTTAAGAGAAAAAAACTTAAAAAAAAATTAGTTTGATAATTATTGCAATAATTATGAATTTGATCCCCCACTTGTCCCCCCTATAACAACTGAACGGCCTTGAGCTGACCTTAGATTAATGTCATGTCATTACCGTCTGACCTCAAGTTTTTAATAGGCAAAAAATAAAAAAGTATTCGTCATGGCCACCAGAAGGCCCAAATTGGCACTCCTCCTTTAATGACTACAGATAGCAGTGGCCATTTTTGTGACTATATTTGGGACATATTGCCCTAGTAAAAGGACAACTGCAATAATCTGGATGTTAACAGATTATCACTGAAATTGATTTTATATTGGATAATTAATTGAATGTCGGTGTTTAAGGAATATTGAATGGATTGAATAAAAGACACACGAGTGAATAACCCCTTCTAATAAAAATCTAGAATTCGACACAGTAGAACAAAATAAGGAATAATACTGCATCCTACAGCGTTTTCTTCTTTCTAGGACTCGTCAGTGCTCCGAAAAGCCTGACATGTGAAACCTCCTTGGTGGCGATTGGGGAAAATCAAAAGCGATTGAAAAAGAGTGTCAAAAACTTAGATGGAGATATACACAACTTGATCTTACAGTATTTTTTTCAGAATTGTCATCCATTTAAAACTTTTATATATTTCTGCTGAAGGAGCATCATAAGATTTCTCTAAAATCAAGCTGGCAGCACATTTTTGTAACTTTGTCTGCAGCCATGAAATGATACATATTGTTCCCAATTTTGAATAATTCGTGTTTTAAAAAATCACTAACCATTGTTTATCGCTAACCAGCCTTTGAATAACCAGGGCCTGATGTCAGTAACTAGGTAGGTAATTTTGTCATTACGTTTCAATCCACACCATAGTTACCTAGGTCATTTAGTCATGTATTACGTTTGAAACATGATTGAGTAGATTTTGATATGACAAGTCTACCGTACACAAGACAGTAATATTTAATAAGACTGATCGAGAAAGGTTTCACCTACATTACAGATTTCAATGTCTTTCAGGATGACAGGAACGTGCTGCAGTAAGCTACATATTGACAGGTTTTGTAGAAGATAGCGGAAAACAAAGTTGGCTTCCTTAATCAAACGAGGTCTTACAAAATCAGGAAATGCAGAGGAAATGCGGTGCATCGAGAACGTCTTGTCGAGATAGAACACTGTTGGAAAGTACAGGAGTATGACACTTGTATAACTCTTGCGAGGGATGGAGTTGGGTGTGTCAATATTTCTGTTTGGTCATCGATGGTAGATTTTTAGGAAAATAAATTATTGAAGGCTGAGGCGTCATCGTCCGGTAAAAAAAACCCGTGACGTCAGAAAAGGAAAAATGTCCCTTTTCCGTTTAAAGTTTTGTCATAAAGTTGATTATATTTGTCCATCATTAATTATCACTAGCATCAGCACTGTATTTATCACAGGCTTTGTCAAAACAATCTGGTTTGTGATTTACAAATAGCATTCATGCACGTATATCTGTATTTTCTTGATTTAGACCGGGCATATACTTTACATTTAGCTTTCCGAGGTAAATATCTTTTGTTTGTTATGTATCTAATTCTGTATGGAGTTGTTGAACCGTGCAGGAGAGAAACTTCTCACAGTTACAGAACGATAAGATATACATTATCTGGCCCCGGTTATTCACAGCTTAGTCAGAATTAACCACTGGTAAGTGCATATTTCAAATTGCTGCCACTGAATAAACAGGAGCATTAAAGGCATAACGTTCAAGATATATCAATATGACATGCATCAGCGAATCTGCAGTCGTGAAATGATACATATTGCTCAAAATTTTGAATAATTCGTGTTTTAGAAAATTCACTAACCACTGTTTATCTCTAACCAGCCTTTGAATAACCGGGGTCTGATATCAGTTACTAGGTAGGTACTTTTGTGTAAGGCATTACGTTTTTCAATTCTAATCATAGTTACCTAGGTCATGTACACAGGTATTACGTTTGAAAAATGATTGAGTAGATTTTGATATGACAAGTCTACCGTACACAGGACAGTAATATTTAATAAGACTGATCGAGAAAGGTTTAACCGACATTACAAATGTCACTTAAGAATGTATCACTTAAACAAACTATGTCAAGAGGAAGGGGAGACAATTCAATAAAGAAAGTAAGCTCGACGACGATCTGGACAAGATTGTATATAGCTAATAAATGTGACTAGTATCACTATTTTATAGGTTTGCATTAAAGTCGTCTGTAACAGTTTTTAACGATATAAACATTGGTTATATATCCAAAATTATTAGATTCATAAAGCTCATGTTCTCCTGATGTAACATAACTAGCTTAAGTGAATTTCATTGGTCAGGTGTTCATTTCCTCTTTCTCTCATACCTAATGGTAAGTAATTTCATTTAATGTAAAATTAAAATGACAACGATGTCCATTCTTCGATTTAGATTTTATCGAAATTAACAAATTTAAATTCACACGTGGCCTGTTTACTTTTTTTGTGTGTTTGCTTATATTTTTGGCGTCTTCTTATGGCCCCGGGTCGAAAGATCGGGAGTGCATTGTGTTTTTACAGTCTGTCTGGTTGTCTGTTGTCAGCTTAACCTTGTCTATAACTATTGCACCGTAAGAGGTAAATTTACATATTTTGGTATGGGTGTACCTTATTATAAGACATTTCTGGTGGTACAAAAGATAGCATCGTGTGACCTTGATCATGACCTTTAAACTACATTGAAGGTAAAAATAAAAAAACGTTACCACAATGAAGACATAGGTGTTGCACAAAGTGCGCTTACAATTAGCACATTTTTTACACAGTACAGTTTTAATGTCCCACTTAAGAATTTTGTTGTTATCGGCACGTGAATAATACACCAAAAATGTATGTTGTACTTTAATATGTATACACGCAACAGCATTTGTGTGTTTAAGTCTGATTCATCAACCATCTCATTTATTCTATATCAATTCTACACAATGTATACACCGGGTCTACGATTTCTTTTACACATTGAATTTATGGTCATTCAAGTAGTGATACCCGTGCGATGCGGTGTGTTTTAGGTATCTGAAATACAAAAAAAACAGTACACAGTATGACAGGGAACAAATTAGTGATAATCTACCAGATACGTTCACACACAATACATCGGCGTGACTCTGTGGAGCTATCGAGGCAACACGCAATAATTATATTGATAAAATTCTGGGGCAGTGTTTATGTATTGATGGCCGTGAAGTACGTAGTACTACAGAAGTTATCCGTGCCGCTTGAGGAGATAAATGGGACAAACGGCTGTAAGTTATCACTTCATAACCGGTTTTAACCATATAAGTATTGGTTACTTTCTAACAGTGTCACTCATTTGGATGTTTACGACCGAACATTTTTTTTTACCGGACAGTCGACTCCGAAGATAATTCTACTCGCGTGAATTGTAATATCTTAATTGGACCCGAACTTTGTTAGGAAAGAGTTTTAAAAAAAACAGTGACAGACACAAACTTGAAAAAAAAAATATCACAAAAAGGTATATGTGTATACATAAGGGCATGAAAGATGATCTGAAACCGGATGTAAATTTTGCTATATCACGGTCACTATGGTGTACGGGATGCTAAAGTCATGAAATTTTCAATGCTATCGGCATATGAAAGTGAAATATGAGATTCACTTTTGTATAGCGTCTGTTACATGGACAATGTGAATTCATAAAAGCGACACACAGAAGATTCTGTAAAAGGAAAAAACATCGTGTATACAGAAGGATGTATTTTATAATTTCTTATACTACTCGCCGAAAAACTCACTGTTAGACAACGAAAGTTGGATAATACAGCGTCAGAGAATTTCGTTATTTTCCAGTATCCAAACAGGTCAGATCATTGACTTCAGCTAATCGGATAAAAATTACTATTAAAAATACCAGCCATGGAATCAAATGTTACACAGATGAGTTCAGGTCAGTCTGTATATGAGCTTACAGACGGGGGCTCTTTAGTCGAACTCTACATCGAGGGAGCCGTTTTGTTTATAATATGTCTTTTGGCTATTGGCGGAAATACCTGTATTTGGATAATTATTTGTCGGACCAAGGAACTCCGAACCATGACAAATTATTTCATACTTGGCCTGACAACAGCAGATTGGCTGGTCTCTGTGTGTAACATGCCTGTTACGGTCTTCACTCTGTTCGCAGGGGGAGTTTGGCTATTATCAGCGGATGCTTGCAGGGTATTTGGCTTTGTGAATATGTTAACTCTCGTGACAAGTGTTTTGTCCCTGTGCAACATAAGTATAAATAGATATATTATGGTATGTAAGCCGATCTACTTCAGGAAAATCTACACGAGACGAAACACTGCACTGATGATAACAGGTAAGTGTTTGTTTTACATCTAAATATATAGACAGTCTGCAAGGAATGACTTAAATATACCTTCACAAGAAATGTCTTCCAACATTTTCCAAGAAAATATTTCCACGTCCTATCCTGAATTATTATCACAATCTAATTATTTTCACAACCTTTTTAAAAATGTGTCCCGTTCTTAACAAAATTACTTCAATTGTTCAATATATTTTCCGTTTTCAATTTCAAAGAAATTGCTGGACTTTTTTCTATTTTTCTCTTGGCATTTTTGTTTTTTTATTTCTAGTAGAAACGCATTTAACCTTTTACTGATTATCATCTCAATCTTTCACAAGATTTTGTCATCCTTCGTAAGTTAGTTACCTTGGATAATACCATTAATTGGTACAATTCTACTAAAAACAGAAAATGCTTAAACCTCAACAGAATTATCATTCAAACTCAAATTCAATAAAACTAGGGCAAAATATTAACAAAAGAAAGATATACACAGGGATTCGTGAAAAAGTACACTGTTTAGGAGAGTAAACCCAGGTGTTCTAGACGAGTAAGCGTCACGTGCTTCATGGACGACACTAACCATGTAAATCTTGGTTAATAAAAGACAGTAATGTCACGTTCTTAAATGAGAATAATGTATATTACAACGAAACCAATAGGTGAACTAACGAGCAACAAACACGTGCAGCTTCATATCACCCAAGAAACAGAACACCAATAAGATCATTATGACATCTTTAAAACTTCCCCAACAATAAAGCTTATCCAACATTAAAGAGTTTTTAAGGTAATTTTTGTGGTCCAAATTTTGGTTCAGCCTCAACAAGTTTGCAGATATAATACTTATACCGTTTAAGATAAGAATTTCAAGCAATTGTGATATTAAGAGGAATATCCTACTATGATATTGACAGAATTTCAATTTATACCAGAGGCCAAACACAATCAATCAATTTCTCTTGGTAACACCACAGAGCTACGACCGAAAACATCAACCATGTTAACAAATCATCAACTATTTGATTTAGTTTCAGAACCTTGCATACATTTACAAAACAAGGCCGACAAACAATTTCGTTATGTTTTGAATAGGAAGTGAAAATAAGCTTAGAAAACTTTGATGTTCTCAGCCATAATCTGACAATTAACTAATTAGGTAATCATTATCTATTGACAACAAAATCATAAATATTCAATATTGATTTGCCCACGAATTAAGGAAATCCTTCTTCACAAACGGAAACAAGCGCGAACAAAGGCAGCTCTTGTTATCGATCTTTCTCTGTAAGATTCTGATATCTCGTCGACATCAAAATTTGACATTAATTTTCCATGAATTATCACTTCAGATCGATCATCATTTGATTTGTGTTAATTGCTTACAGTCTAACTACAGTAGAAATCAATTATCATTGGCCGGTAAGTGTCGATGACGTCACTTCCTGTTTGGGGAGTCTGAAAGGGAATCTAATGTCACATGTAAAGGTCACTCTGTAAGATTGTTAATTGTGCGTTCAATAGGCTAAACGATGTAGGTGCGGAGTGGTGATGAAGTCAGCAGAGATAAAGCCAGCCTAAGGGGGTCATAATCATGGAAATATAAGGAACATGTATTGATAGTGTGTTGATGATTGCATTCTGATATTATTAATAAATAGAACGTCACGGACTATTTAGAAATACACGATTTTGCAATTAATGGAAATAGTAATAATATTGTGTCTCCATTGTTCGAAATTTTTGGGAAACCCGGTGCACTCCGTGTTATCTTACTCCGATTGTTAAATATCGATCTTATTGATTTTTTTCTCCTTCTTTTTTCTTCACAAAAGCGGTAACATGAAAGACTATGTTTAGGGATATCATGTAACATTCAAAAGCACTTTATTCCTTCATTTTCAATCATAAAAGTTAAAAGAATATTTACACTGCTGTATCTTGATATGTTGCTTCAGGCAGAAAATTGATTCGTCTGTACTTAGCGGAGATAATTACTGAAAAAACGACAATTGGACCTAATTATGATCATCTCTCGTTACACGGCCGTTATCGATAAATACATTCCATAAAAAAAGTAAATATTTTATTTCAGTTTTTTTTATAAAACAAGGGAAAACCTGGTATAATGATCCAACAAAGAAGAACAATGTTACTACAGTGTAAAGAGACTTTAAAGATATCTATCCAAGGAATCGTTTGTTCAAAGGCCCGTAACTCTGGACGTAAAACCCGCTAAATTAATAAATAATAACATCTTCCAATTACGAACTTAAGAAATGTCAGATAATAATGATAAAAAAGATAACGATATGAAGAAGATATTTCGAGAAAGAAAAAAAAGAGAAAAAGGATACTAAACTGTAAATACACTTTAGCTTGAACATATTACCTCGGATGTACCTGTATATACAAGTTAAAATCTTAATTGTAAGTGAAAATACTGTACTGTATAATAAGGTTATTTGAATATATTTCTAATTACCTTTTCTCTTTTGTGTTAATACTGTGCTTACCTGTTCACCTCTCGCACCCTTTTTTTAGTGGTTCGATAGAACTCAAATAATTGTAAGGATTTTTTTATCGATCATAACCTTTGAAATTTTCTTTGATCGATTTCCATTTTTATCAAAGTAACTTTTATAGACTAATTCTAGAAACGTTTGGGCAATTAGCGCAGTGGTATCGCACTTACCTTTTATCAAGACGTCCGGGTTCGATTTCCCGATCGGACATGAAAAGAGAAGGGGCCATCTGTCCAACCACGTGGGTTTCCCTGGTACCCTCATTTCCGTCCCTATGGTAAGACTCCTCGCGCGCTTAAATCCGGACCAACAAGAGTGATTAGTACAAGCTGGATAACTTGTTTCACAATTGTTGTAAAATAAACAATTTTTTTAAGTAGTGGTAGCTCGTGTATTTTTCAGTAAATCGTGAGCCTGTAAAAAAAAGGGGAAAAACACACAAATACATATTGAACGAGATGTGTTTATGGAACACTATGCCCCCGGTCAATGTACAGGTCACATGGTCATTTTTTTTGGTACCAGACCGGAAAGGACTAGTCACCAGGAACACACTTGCTAATTATGTAAGCCCTACCTCTTATGGTGCAGTAGTTATGTCCAAGGTTAATAACAGACAAACAGACAGCGCAAAATCAATATGCCCCGATCTTTCGATCCGGGGACATAAAAACAAGCTATTATAGAAATGACAGTACGAGAGGCTATGACACAGTATAAAGATCAGCTGTGCTAGTGGTATAACAACATTTTATTTTTTATCACATAACTGAGGAAAGTTACATTTTAACATCAAACTGCAGATTTCAAACTCAGACGTAGGAAACCATTGTAATGCACCGTTCCAATTTAATGTTGTAACGTCATTGTCCATATTATGACGTCACAATCGATTTCTGCCGGTCCAGGGTATTTTACATTAGTGACAAACGTTTAAAATATTGCCTGGAGAATTCACAGAATAAAGAGATGAAATTATGTGATAAAAATTAATAATTAATCAGAATTAAGACCTCGGTGTAGATATGTCCTACCCAGCTAACGGCGTAGGTCGCATCATATCATTATTGAGTAAACTTAACGTGAAGTCACGTGGGACACCTATTAAATGATGGAGTGTCTCTCGTTAAGTAATCAGTAAAAGTGTGACGTAATTTTCACGGGTATTGACCTATTTTTCCTCTGACAATTGACGATAAACAGGAGTTAAGGTAATCACAATGCAATTAAAGTTTATTATTGATGTAGAATAAGATATAGTGAACCTGTTTCGTGGTTCTGAGACTCGTCGGTGATGCTATGGGCCCGAGTAGTTGTAACTTAAGAGGCGGATAAGAAAAATCATAATTGTTTTGGTTGAAACAAGTATGAATCATGAAAATATGCTTTATGTTGGTGTATGCATGTTCAGGTTCATAAACAGATTTTTTAACGACTGAAATTAAAGCCAGTGAAAGACTTTTTACTGAAATTTTTGTGTAGTACTTTTAGTTTAAAGTACATCATAGCATTTGACCCCTCAGTTTTCAGCAGATTGTTGACGTTTAGTTTAAAGATTATTCTTCAGCTACTCGGTATACTCATAGTACAGCATTACATGGGAGATACACAGGAACACGTACTTTTATTAAGACGGAATCAGAACGACAACAAAATAGAGGAACAGATAGAACAGTGAATAAAAACTACGGCGATTATAGAGGGATAGATAGAACGGTAAATAAACACGACAAGGATTACAGATGGACAGATAGAACAGTGAATAAAAACGACGGCGATTATAGAGGGATAGATAGAACGGTGAATAAACACGACAAGGATTACAGATGGACAGATAGAACAGTGAATAAAAACGACGGCGATTATAGAGGGATAGATAGAACGGTGAATAAACACGACAAGGATTACAGATGGACAGATAGAACAGTGAATAAAAACGACGGCGATTATAGAGGGATAGATAGAACAGTGAATAAAAACGACGGCGATTATAGAGGGATAGATAGAACGGTGAATAAAAACGACGGCGATTATAGAGGGATAGATAGAACGGTGAATAAAAACGACGGCGATTATAGAGGGACAGATAGAACGGTGAATAAACACGACAAGGATTACAGATGGACAGATAGAACCGTGAATAGAAACGACGGCGATTATAGAGGGATAGATAGAACGGCGAATAAACACGACAATGATTACAGATGGACAGATAGAACAGTGAATAAAAACGACGGCGATTATAGAGGGATAGATAGAACGGTGAATAAACACGACAATGATTACAGATGGACAGATAGAACAGTGAATAAAAACGACAACGATTATAGAGGGATAGATAAAACGGCGAATAGAAACGACAACGATTGTAGAGGGACAGATAGAACAGTGAATAAAAACGACAACGATTATAGAGGGACAGACAGAAGAGTGAATAAAAACGACAGCTATTATAGAGTGATAAATACAGCCTCTTCACTTTGA